GGGGCTGTGACAAACTATATATATATATATAAATAATGCTTATATATATACAAAATGACCCCGAGGTGCGTGCCTCACCGAGCTATGATCAAAGACTTGGAGGGCACAACCCTAAGTGGCAGCCTGACGAATGCTCAATTATTGAAAATCTCATTTATTTGGTTTATTTAAAAAGCATCGTTCATCCACCTCAAGGGTTAACCTGAGGGCATAAATTACCAAGCCTATGGTGGAAAATTGACATCGCTGGGACGTAATTCCCAGCGTGGGCTGTTGACCTAACATAACCAGGCAGCGGACCCTTCAACTATGGTCTGGAAGAGAAACTAGAGGAGTGGCCACCCCAATGAAAGGATCTATTCAGGTGGATGTCGAAGGGGTCAGATTAGAAAATTTTTAAAGATAGGATGAATATCCCCTCGTTGCGCAACCAACGAGGGTAACCACCGATAAGCAACAACGTGGTGGGCCGCAGCTCCGGTCTGATCAGCAGGACTGTGGTGGGTTAGGATGGAGACTGTTGTCTTCCTGTATTAGGCTTCCGGCAGGACGACAGACAACTTTGGATTGTGATATCAAGAGTTGAACACCCAAGGTCTCGGTTAGGACCCGCGTTTGACGGGTTGAGTTCGTACGCGAACACCTGCCCTGAAAACAATCAACGAATACCTAGACCAAAGACTAAGGGTGTGGGGAAAGGAAAGGTGTGTTGTCATACATGTACTGTAGTACAGATCAAGTATCCCCACTTTCCGTTATTATATTTTATGTGGGAGACCCGGGTTAAAATCCCGGCGGTAATAATGAAAAGTAAGGTGACGGTGTCAATCCTGAAACCACATTTCATTCCAGGATTCGGATTTGACGAATTGCTTGTCAGAAAACACCTTTATGTGCATATAGTTCTCCGAGCGACGGGGACGTCGCTTAATGAGGTCTGGGATACTGTCGGACAAAATACCCTTACAAGGGTATTTTGCAATATTTTTGCATTCGGCACGGTGGTGGCGTCAGCCACCATGACGTAGCCAGTCTGGAACAAGAGGGGTGTGTACGCTTGGCGTGACACTGAAAGCAAAAATCCTCGGCCAGTGAGGCCGGGGCAAAAAAATCGAAGAGAAAATTTCATTAAGTATGTGCGCGCGTTACTATAACGCGCGCCGTGGTGATTAGGATCAACAGTAATGCCCCTCGACGGAAGAGGTCGAAGGGTCAGTTGGACTGATGATTGTGTCAGGTAGGACTATGACACGCACCGAGACTTGGTCCAGTGCCTGTCTTTCTTCCGGTACATGGGGTTCTGAAATTTTCGGTCCTTGCCTTCCCCTACTCAGCCTCCGGGTCGAGTATCCGCCACACCTACTTCTACTTAGTGTGGTACCAGCCTGCCCGCCACTTGAGTATCTACCCTGCCGCGACCCTCGATGCCGCAACCACGGTGAGTACCGGCCTTCGGGCCTTTCGATGAAATACGTGCCCTTGCGGGTCATGCAAGCGCCCAAGGCGGCGGGCATTCAGATAGGCACGTAGAATTAGCAAGCATGCACACTAGCGCTGGCTAGGGTGGGTTCAGGCCATTGGTTGGACTGGGCCACATTACTTTATAAATACTAGAGCTACTCTACTTTTATTCGAAGTGGGAGCTAGCTCAGTACGTTGCAGTACAGGGTTGATATGCGGGGGATCCGGGGATCAAGGCCCACCACCCTCCAAGCTAGCTCCCTTTTGACAGGGATCTCTACCTTTCGTTTTGCCTGGGTTTGAACGGCCGGGACTCGATCCCCCGACCTCGTTATCTAGGTTGGTTGTGTTAGTTGCCTCGTTGAAACGAGACTCTACGCTAGGCAGTTGGTGGTAGTTCTCGTTTGAATTCGTTCAAAAATTTTATTTTATTTTAATTCAGAGGTTAGATTCGTTTCATTATTTTATTTTCTATTCTCTTTTCTCGTAGCTTTATCCCCTGATTCAGTTGCCTCGTTGAAACGAGACTCTACGCTAGGCAGTTGGTGGTAGTTCTCGTTTGAATTCGTTCAAAAATTTTATTTTATTTTAATTCAGAGGTTAGATTCGTTTCATTATTTTATTTTCTATTCTCTTTTCTCGTAGCTTTATCCCCTGATTCACGTAGGTGAACCTGTACTCGGAAGTCGAACCGATTCAGCCGGAAAAGGGAAGAGGTCCGGCCATCCTACCGTGCGTCATCAACCTATAGCACGGAGGGCCCCTCGTCAAGGAGAAGAGCAAGCCACCGCGAATTTCGCGCAGAAGCAAGATCGGGAACGGCCGCTTGCTGGGGAGAGCGCGGAGAGGTGAAGGGTGGAGCGCGCGAGAAAGCCGGGGGAGACAACTCGTAAGGGGAAAAGAACCACGAAGGAAGAAGGAAAAAGGAACATGGAGAAGGCGTAGGAGGTCGCGCGAAAGAGAGAAGGAGAAGAGGAAGTCGAAGGAGGAAATAGAAAGAGGAGGAGAAGGAAAACTTACCGGATCCAGTGAACAAGCACGGTGGCGGCAGCGAACTCAACAAAGGAGAATGGCATTGTAGACAAGAAAGTGAGTGGGAGGACACGCAAAGAAGGAACGAGAGAGAAAGGGAGAGAGAAAGGAGAAGAAGAGGAGAAAGAGGAAAGGGGATACTTACTTGACTAAGGGCACGGCGACGGAAAGGTGAAGACGACGGGGAGCGGGAGAAAGAACGGGTGAGTCCCGTTCCTCGAGGCCGAATTCCACCACCTATATAATAATAATAATAATATAGTAATAATAATGAAATTGAATAAATAAACAAAATAGATAAATAAATCAAATTAATGAATCTACCATTGAAATGTGAAAAGATTCGCTATGATCTAGCTTATGTGTATGAGAGAGAGGTAAAGGGAGAGAGAGTTCTTCTTCTTCCTCTTCTAAGTCCGCTAACTCTTCTTCCCCTCTCGATGCCTACTTCTCAGTATCTGTGGACTATGAGAAGGAGATATGACCTGAGACTTGACGACATTGGATTCAGACTCGACATTGGGATTCAAACATGTTGACGAGGGACTGTTTGAGCCTGTGCCGAAGACTTGGTGTTGATGACATTCCCATTCTCTCCTCTTCTTCGTCTGATCCCCTCCTTTCGTTTGTTCCCATCCTCTTCGTTCGTGTATGTCTGACCTGGGGCCGCCTTCCTGAGTATAGCGCCAGGCCTCTTCACACCAGGGGACGATGTTGACATAAGTTGGGGATGCATTGCAATATTGACTGTCGGATCGTTGGTATCCAGGTCTCCCGATACGCTATCT